AACAATTCCATCACAGCCGCCACCACAACAGTGAGAGACCCGGGCATCAACCGACTCACAGACCACTGGGGAAGCAATGCTTTCCGGAGATTTTTGTGCCATGACTGTGGTTTGAATTCAGGGCTTCAGTGCTGGCCATGGCCACCGAGTGCTGGGCTAATGGCGACCTGGTCACTCTCCACTGCCCAGGACCCTTGCCAGTCACTAGGAATGCATGTGTGTCTGCAAGAGTATTCACACCTTGCTAAAAGAATGTGATTTAGACCAGCCCTCACACAATGGCACACGGCACAAGGCTGCACAGCTTTTACCTTCAAGGCTCTGCATAAGGAAATTACATTTGACTCTCTTGCTTGCCTTCAGGTGGGCAGGCAAACAATAAAACTGAAGACCAACATTTCAGAAGTATAAATTATCCCCCAGAGTTCCGTAACCTGAGATGTATTACAGATGAACCTGGGAGTAAAAGTTCACCTGAGCCAAGATTCTGGTCGTCGGCAGGCAGGCCTGCAGCCCTGGCCTATGAGAAGGCAGAGGGAGGTATCGCTGCTGCATGCGCTTCTGGATGACGAGCTTGCTCTGGGAGTGTCCACCAAACGCCTGGCACTGTGGGCTGCAGACCGGACTTTCAGTATTTCCTCTGTAACTGAATGAAGCATTCACTGGGTTGAACTCCAGCTGGGTGCCGGTAGCTCTGGCCTATAATCCTAACTATTCAGGAGGCTGAGATCTGAGGTTCACAGTTCAAAGCCAGCCTTGGCAAGAAAGCCAGCACAAAGCTGTAAGTGGAGTTGTGGTTTACATGGAGAGTGCTAACCTTGAGCACAAAAGCTCAGAGACAGCACCTAAACCCTGAATTCACACCATAGTACTGGCACAAAACTACATGAAAATAAACAGCACATTAGCTTCTCCATACCGCAGTCTAGTAGCTCTGGTTGTCTATGAACACGCTTAAGGCTGACAAATTTAGTTCTTCATTGTACATACATTAGATCTCACTGGTGTTGAGAGAATGTTCCTCCATCTTACCAGAACAAACCTCCAAACCAACACTTCAAATGCTTAAGTATGCGATGGGCCCTTGGGCGGGGACGGGACGGGTGAATGGATGGTGGTGGTAGGCTGAACATGCCTCCCTGAAGGCTCAGGTGTTTGCCACTGGGCAAGTTACCACCCACACAGACACTGAAAGGTGGAGACCACCTCTACAAAGATGGGACCCCCTCACATTCATTTCCAAACGATTCACAATTTGATTTCACTGACGAAAGTGCACCCCACAAGACAGAAACCAAAGAAGTGTTCCTTTGCTCCACCTCTCCACTTCCCAAACCTTCATTCACCATCAGAAATGGGAGAGCTGAGCGAGGATTGCATCCTTGTAATCCCAGTGCTTGGAAGGCAGGGGCGGGGTGGGGCGGGGCGGGGCAGGGCAGGGCAGGGCAGGGCAGGGCAGGGCAGGGCAGGGAGGGCAGGGCAGGGAGGGCAGGGCAGGGCAGGGAGGGCAGGGAGGGCAGGGCAGGGCAGGGAGGGCAGGGCAGGGCAGGGCAGGGAGGGCAGGGCAGGGAGGGCAGGGCAGGGAGGGCAGGGCAGGGCAGGGCAGGGAGGGCAGGGCAGGGAGGGCAGGGCAGGGCAGGGAGGGCAGGGCAGGGCAGGGAGGGCAGGGCAGGGCAGGGCAGGGCAGGGAGGGCAGGGCGGGGCGGGGCGGGGCAGGGAGGGCAGGGCAGGGCAGGGCAGGGAGGGCAGGGCAGGGCAGGGCAGGGCAGGGCAGGGCAGGGCGAGAGGCTGGTGTGGGGGCCATGTGCTCCCAGTGCCTATTGGCAGAGTTGCACCTTGAGGAACAGACAATCACAGCCCTGCACCAGGTGGGCGTCTTCCTGTGCCCATGCCCTGGGCGAGGGAAGTGCTGCGGGCTCCTTCCCACCAGAGGCATCAGCTCCCCTCACTGCTGTCACCTGAGCAGCGAGGCTCACTGCACTGCCACAGCTTCCAGAACATTCCCATCTGATGGTACCTAAGGGCACCGATATGTGGAACTGCTCCAGGCCCAGCCTTCCCAGCCCCATCTGACCTCACTGCCCCAGCTCAGACAGCTCAGTGAGGCCAGGCGCTGCTTTTCAGGGCCAAGAAAGGCAAGAGTTCCCAAGTTCCTTCACTTACTTGGGAAGCAAAGCCACGCCCCACCTGCCCTATGGTCTCTGTATGGAAGGACAGGTCTGCAGGGAGGGTTGGGGGGCAGTGGAGGGGGAGGTGTTCTTCTGTTTTTCTTCCTGGCCACCGGAGGGGAGGGAACAGCACCTCCACTACCGCCCTCTGCTGGCTGGCTTTGGAAAGGGACTCCACCTCCCCGGACCCTCTGGTGGTCCTGAGCTTGGGGACGGGCTGTGGACACTATGATCCGCGTGTCTCTGAAGAGCAGCCCGCATAAGCAAGGCTCACACTCGCAATCCTGCCTCCTAGGAATGCCGCAGCCGGAGGGTTGCAGGTCGCAGTCCTGGGCCAGCCCAGGCAGAGTAACTCGAGAGACCCCAAGTTGACCCCTGCCTGGGCCCACTGGCTTGTCACCACAAGCTATGGGGGTGGAACGTGAGACACGCCCCCCTAAATGTGACTCAGCTGGCAGAGCGCCCGCCTGGCCAATGGGAGGGCCTGACCTGAAGTTAAACCTCAGAACCATCTAAACAAAAGGAGACAAAACGAAACAGAGAGAAAGAAAGAAAGAAGGGGAGGAGGGAGAGGGGAGGAGGTTGACCACAGCAGTTACCTCATGGTTTGCAAGCTTTGGACAGGAAGTAGAGTGACATTTCCGGTGGTCTTCAGATCACAGAAGCGGTTCATTTTTCATAGCTAACAGCCACCCTCGGCTGAAGTGGAGAGGGCAGGGATCCCGGGATGGGGCGGGCCCTGGCCCAGCCTGCCCAGCCCAGGCACACCCGGGGAAGCTGGGAAGTTTACAGTTGCCAGGGCAACTCCACAGGAGGCGGGGAGGCCATGGCTAAGGACCTGGAGCCTGGATGTAAGTGTTTGGGTTTCGATGTCTAGGTGAAGTTTTGTGGCTCGGACTCAGATTCTCTGGGCCAGTTTCAACCGGAGGTGGTGCCCCTTGCTGGGAGCTGTTAGGGCATTCTTGAATTCACACGGGATGGGGTTGGGAGACAGGAGAAGGAAAACAAGGACTAATTAGCCTAAAGCATTTTAAAACCCCCTGTAACTGATAGGTTTGTTAATTAAGTGAGTTAGTGATTGGACTAAATGTACAGCGTGAACGTGTTTAGATGTCTGTTCCCATTATACGAGTGTGGTTTCTATGTTGGTACAGTGCGTGTGCAGTGTGTAATCTGCCACTGTGCTCTGCACATGGTGCACAATGCTATACAGTGTGATGTGGGCTGTACATCCACCTGCACCATGTGGTTCATAACTCCACATGGTGTGTTATGTGTGCATTGTGTGGTATGTGTGTGCTGTGGCCTTGTGTGAGCAATGTGATGCTCACATGCATGTGTATGGTATATGCATATGGTGTGTGGCATGTGCACAGTGTATGTGCTGCCTGCACATGTGTATTGTATGTGTGTAACTGCATGTGCTGCATGCATATGTATATTGCTGTGTGTATGTGTGTACATGTGGTATATGCAGTGTAGTGGTATGTGTGCATATTGTATTACTGTGTGCATGTGTATACACTATGTGGTTGTGTGTGGTATATAGGTATGTGCATGCTTGTGTGGTATATATGGTGTTCATGTATGCACTGCATGTGGTGTGTGCATGTATGTGCACTGTGTCGTTTGTGCAGTGTGTGTGGTGTATGCATGTGTGTGCAGTGTGGTATGTGCATGTGTGCAATGTGGTCTGTGCACGTGTGTACAGTGTGTGGTGTGTGCACTATGTTGTGTGCAGTGTGTGTGTGTGCACTGTGTGGTATATGCAGTATGGTGTGTGTGTGTGTGTGTGTATGTATGCGCACTGTGGTGTTTCTTTACTCCCCCCAGCCCTGGCCTCTCCCATCCTCGAGTCACTGACATGAGACTCCATCTGCACACTGCCCCATGCTCCTTACGAACGTCCCAAGCACCCTGCACGAGTGTGGACCCTGCAGCCCTGAGGCTGGGCTGGAGGGGCTGGCAGTGCAGCTCTGTCCGCAGCTCTGGGCGAGGCTGGACTTTCTTCCCAGCCGGTGGCTCCTGGCCTCCTACGCTCTCTGATGGCTGGACCGTGTCACCAGCCAGGCTCTTCATCATGGCCACGGCCTTCTCTCCAGCCCTGGCGCCTTGTCTCTGTCTCACAGCGAAAAGGGCCTCGGGTCCTTTGCTCTGGTTAGAATTCTGGTGTCCCCTTCAGGCCAGAGTTTTTCTAGGGGTGCAACCAAGCACTGCCCCCCCCCGGTCTGCAGGGACAAGGAACTAGAGCTGTGAGCTCCTAGTGTCTGGCTGCACACCCACCCCTGCGCTGCCGGAGCCGAGGCTGGCCGGGTGGCCTGGCACCGAGTGGCACCCGCCAGGCTCTGGCGACTGAGGGCTGAAGGTCCACACCTGTGGGGGCAGGGCTGTGAGTGCAGCCTCACCGGGACAGTCTCCCCCGAGCCTCGCTGGCCATCCTGCAGCCCACGTGTGGTGTGGCGACCCACGGGGGCCTCGGCCCTGCTGGACGGGCCAGTCGCTCCTCTGTTGTCCTCGAGAAGCCCATGTCCCCGGTTTGATGGAGGCCGTGCAACACGACACGGTGCCTGGAGGCTTCGATTCCTTTTCCTTCCTCCCTTCCTTCCTTCCTTCCTTCCTTCCTTCCTTCCTTCCTTCCTTCCTTCCTTCCTTCCTTCCTCCTTTCTGCCAACTAGGCCTCAGGCCTAACTTAGGGCCACTTCCTGCTTTGGGGGTCAGGGATGCCCAGCCCAGTAGACCTCTGCAGATGTCAGCCGTGGTTCTGTTCCTTCCCGAGCAGGTCACCCGAAGTGGCAGCAGAATGGCGCGCGCAGGGTGGAGACTCTGGGCAACATGACGGAGCTGCTGGACATACTCCAGAGAGGCTTCCAGGAGGAGGTCTACCAGTACACGTGTGGCCACCTGAACCCCAACAGGCTCTACAGGCCGCCCGAGGTCACCCTCCAGCACTGGCGCAATTCCAGCAGGCCGACGAGCACCCCGGCGCCCCGGGACGCCACCTCGGGAGCGCAGAGGCCGCTCTGCCAGGCGTCAGAGAAGATGAGAGACGCCTTGGCCTATTTCACCATCAACACAGCCTTGCATCCAGACGGCGCGCAGAACACACGGCTGCTCAGGTATCTGCCCCTAAAGGGAAGTACTTCCTTCGCCACCCAAAAGGATTTCCTCACGCAGAAGATTCTGGAAGAGGTAAAGGAGCGGAGGGCGGACTTCCCAAGCACCCGCAGGAGAGAGGAGCTCCGGCTGCCCGATATGAAGGTACTGAAGCGACGGCCGGTGACGTCCAGCCGCCAGTGCGCCACGGAGCCCCCGGACAAGGACTCCTACCATTACATCTCCACCTACTTATCCGGGATCACCAAGGCCGACAGGTACCGAATGCTCTGGACTTTCCAAAGAGAAGTCCTGGCAAAGCAGGATCTCTACAAGAGTGACCTCAGAGGGAGCAAGGTGGTACAGGAGCACGAGAAGAAGCTGAAGAAGGCAAGGAGGGCTGCTGCTCGCGTCCAGTCACCGGGCGGGGAGCGGGAGGGGCGGGGGGGGGGGCACGGGCGGGCCGGGAGCAGGCAGGGGCGCTGCGGTGAGCAGCTGCTGTGAGTGGAACTCCCTGACTGGGGGCAGTGCATTATGGGAGGCAGAAGCAAAGAGCGCGCTACCTGTGACAGAGCCACGGCTCAGGGTTTGGCCGAGGAGGCTGGTGGAAAAGAACGGGCCTTGAGAGCACGTGGAGGTATGTGGAGCGAGGGAAAAGGACAAAAACAGCACATGGGTAGGAATAGAGGTCGTCTCGGTTTGCCGACCAGTCTGTGCACGGCCAATGCCCGGGGCGGGGGCAGCAAGCTCCCTGTCAGTTCCGCAGCCTGGAAGCTGACCGGAGGGGCCACCGAGGCGGCCAAGCGGGCTGACTCCGCCTCTCTTCCAGGAGCTCCAGGATGTATGCCAGTGCGACCCTCTGCAGCTTGGCAGGCTGCATGTCTTTGGGGAAGTCTTCAAGGACATCTGCAACAGCTCTCTGATATTTGGGGACCTCTTGAAAGAAGTGAAGGTAACCGGGTAATGGAGCTTTTGGCTTTTGAGGGTTCCATGGAGGACTCCGCGCTTGGTTCTGCGTGCATGAGAGCCTCTCACCACACGAAATCCATCTGCACGTGCCACGGCCCCTCTGCCTCCAGGAATGCCCTTCACAGACATGGGTTATAAGGCCCGTGAGGTGTAGGTGCTCAGGGAGCTGGCTGCTTTATCCCTGACTTTCACTAAGCTTCTTCACACACACACACAGCACACCTATGTGCCGTCGTAGAAGCCCTTGTAAGTTAGCATGTGTAATTTCATAGAAATCCTTGCAGAACCACAGGTTTTCACTGCATGGTGCAAGTCTCTGTCACGTGGAGACAGTTGAAGTTAGACTGCGTACAGCACAGGCAACCATTCCACAATGACAAGCAATGCCTCACCGTGGCACCGTGCTTAGCTCGCTCTCGGAGACGCCCGTTTCCCTGGAAGTCTGTCCTTTCTTGTGTGTGGCAGGTCTGTGGGCCCACTCTCAGAGAACATGTATGTGTGCCAGAGTATATTCATGCCTCAGCAACTATTTGATTTTGTGAGTGTGGGCAAGTATGGTCTAATCCACAACGGGAACATTTTATATATCTATCTACACGCATATATGTATATATATATATGTACACGCTCTAATCTGACATCTCTAACCCCCCATGTTATGTCTGTACGAAGAAGGCCCTGGCATCCTGGTGAAATCAGACGCGTTTCCAATGGGCTGTTTTGTGTCTACAGGATGAATATGAGCTGTACATGGCGATTCTCCTGGTGACCCAGCCCACGGAAGAATGTAAGGTAACGAGCCATCTTGGAGGGGGCGCTGAGCCTGTTCGTGATTGCTTTGCAGTTCACGGGTAGCTGGACACATCGTGAGCCCCCAGGCTCTGCTAGCTCCATTGTAGTTTAGGAAGGAGGTGAGCTCTGTACCAGCTTATGGGTTTAATTCCTACACACGGACACTGCACGGGTATTTCAGAAGCACTGGCAAGTAGATGGAATGCCGAGGGCAAGGCCAGTGACCCTCGGGCAGCTCTGTCCCCTCGCCACCCCTAGGGATGAGAAAGGGATTGTGCAGACATCATAACCCAGCATGCCTTGAGCTGCGCCACAAAGCCACGGTCTCCTCACCTAACTGGTTCACCTGGTCCCTCAGGGCGCAGGTCAGGCTTGTGTAGTTCAAGTGAGAAAATGTGCCACCGCGCTGTCTCATACAAACTCAGGAGCGCATGCAGAGCTCAGGTGGTCTGTGGTTTTAGCAAAGTGGCAACTCCTGAGTTGTGAAGGAGCAAACACGGGTTCTTCCTTTGCACATGAATAAAATCGTAGTGTTGAGTCTTAATCCAAAGTTGAGTGAGGGCTTTATTGTCTTTGTTTTTGGCCTTTTCAGGCTACCTGCAAATGACCATTTGTCTTTACAGGAGCAAAATTCCCAGCTGGTGACTTAGGCTGGCTCTTGCTTTCTCAGGTTGAGTGGAAAGGGATTCTTAATGCCTGCATTTCCAGCAAAGGTCAGATCAAAAGAATTCAGCCGTGGAGGCTCTCAATAGTTTTCTTTCCCGAGAAGTCCACTGCCCATCACCTGAGGAGGCAGAAATCTTTATTACCCTGCCTGAGTTGCTTTAGATCCTGGCTGGGGAAGTTAAGACTGTTCCTTGGAAACTTGGAGGAAATAATGAAAGAGTGGATTGTAAGAGCCTGACGCACTTTATTCAACATCACCTTTCCACACTCAGAGCCATGGCAGAGTTGTAAGATTTCTTAGTAACTTAAAATCTGAAAATCAGAGTTTTACTGGGATGATTGCCTCCAATGCCTGCTCTTCGCTTCCTCTGCCCTCTCTCCCCTCCGTTCTCTCTCCTTCCCTCCTCCTCTCTCCCTTCAGCTTATCCATCCTCCTTCCATCCCACCCACCTTTCCTTCTGCCCTCTCTCCCTTCCCTTCCCTCCCTCCTTTTCTTCTCCTGTCTTTCCTCCTTTTCTCAATCCCTCCACCCCCTACTCCAGTAGCACCATTTCACCTGGAATTCACAGTTAGCCCAGCCTGTCTGGGATCTGCAGGAGTAGCAGGGTTTTGCATGCCTCCCTCCTAGACTCTTCTGGCTCAAGTCAAAGGGCTGGAGAAGAGCCCTGTGCACGCAAGGGACATCGGGAAGGCCAGGGAGGAGCTGAGGACGCTGGCGAAGGCCACCAGAGCAGCCTTGGAGCACAATGACAAGTGAGGCAGGCATGGCCGTGTGCCGGCTGGGCGTGGCTGGTACTTACTCAACAAGAGAGTACTCACACCTCCACACCTCTCCTGCGTTGTTAGGGGTGAAACACAATGTTTACTAATGAGTTCTGACCACTGGGCTCTTTCATAAACCACGGCTTATTTGACTAAGATAGCTACGGCCCTGGTGCGCCTGTGGGAGGACTTCTGGAGGGCCTTGGAAGGAATCTCAGGTTTTCTCTGAAGCCTTGTTGGTACGTCAGAGAGCTGCGTGGCTAAGATGCCTTGGACAAGTTCTTTTCATAGTTGTTTAGCTTTAAAAAGTTCTGTCATGGGTTGGGAAGGTGGCTCAGTGGTAGAGCGGTTGCCTTGCATGCCTGAGGCCCTTGGTTCAATTCCTCAGCACCACATAAGCAAAAAGAAAAAAAAATGTTCTGTCATCTCTGTAGTTTTCTAGGATCAAGGCACAGTCATGGAGATATGTTGTTTTCAGAGACTGAAAAAGGAGATTAAAGGATATCTGAAACAAGCAAAATAGTCTTAAGAAGGAACAATAAGATATAAGACCAAAAAAAATAGGTCCAGTGTTGGCTATAAGCGGACCATAGAAAGCCCTGCTCTTTGCTGTCCCGTGGACTTGAGGTCTCCCTGGGAGTGGCGATGAGCTCCGGCTCCAGCCAGAGGCTGCGCTCTCGGTGGTTAATGCATACTTTTTGTGGTTAGCCTGGCCCTATGTCTTCCTCACCTTGATGGGACTCCATTGTTTATATGGGGTTTGTGTGTGTGTGTGTGTGTGTGTGTGTGTACACATCTTCAGATTCCCTTTTATGTTGGAAAGTAAGATTGTGTTCATTTCTTAGTGAAATAGATTTATGACATGAAAAGAAGAAACAAAGTGCCCTCAGAGCCCTGGAATTTCATGCTTTGTGTGTTCTTTTCCATTTGTAGACTCAAAAATGATTTAGAAACGGAGCACCTGTTGCTACAGTCTGCTAAAGATAAAATGGGTAAGAGCACAGTGCCTACTCCTTTCCGTGCGCTCTTGGTATGCTGGTTCCTCCTCTGTGCCGCCCAGTCCCTTGCACTTGTGTAACTCCCTCTCAGTCTCAAGATCGTCACATGCAACGGAGCACCTCAACACTATCAGATCTCTCTGTCTCCCACGTGTGTTTCCCTCAACAACACTATCCGGCATAGGGCCTTGAGGTCCCTCTCTGTGAAAAGACCAATTCTGGAAAAGCATGAGGTTGTAATTTACCATCAAGCCTTCCAATCTAGCGGAGTCTGCAAAAGTAGACATCCAATACATAGTTATTGATTAAATGAACGAATTTAAGGAAGACCACCTTCATTTATGGATCAGCTAATTTTCTGAAGTGCTTGGAATTTGAGTTATACCATAGTTTATGTCATATTTCACACATAATATTGTTAACAACACCAGCTCTTAGTAAGTGCTATTAAATGCAGTAATGATTTGCTTTCAAAAATATTTTCCAGAAGCATTTGAGAAAAACATTAATAATGAGGACCAACTTACTCTTACTGAGAAGATTGAAAAGAGGAGATGTGAAATTCTTAATATGTGGGATAAAATCCAAGATCTTGGTAAACAACTTAAAACAACTTTGGTGCATACTGGAGTTTCAAGTATCACTGAGAGTGGAATTAAAAGCCTAGTGGTATGCAATTTATCTACTTAAATATTTACATTATTTTGCTTGGCAAATGCATGAAGCAGTTTGAAAATAATATAGTGAAATGTACCCCAAATATATGTCATTCCAGAAGGCTTACTTTGACTAAGATCTAAGGCTTATACTGACTAAGAAATCTTTCTGTGGTCCAAACCTGCAGAATCTGTGCAGAATCTGATTCAATATGATCTCTAGTTAAAGAATTTCTAAGTTGCCGGGCGCTAGTGGCTCACATCTGTAAACCTACCTACTAAGGAGGCTGAGATGTGAGGATCTCGTTTCAAAGCCAGACCTGGCAGGAAAGTCTGTGAGACTCATCTCTAATTAACCACCAGAAAACTGGAAGTGGTGCTGTGGCTCAAGTGGTAGAGTATTTGCCTTGAGCTGAAAAGCTCAGGGACAGTGCCCAGGGCCAGAGTTCAAGCCCTATGACCAACCCAAAAAGAAAAAAGAACTTCTAAGTAATACAAGATTTTTATATCAATATATTTTATATTTATGTAAATAAGCTGTACATATATGTATATATAGCTTAAAAAGTTCTGTCACCTCTATATAGTTTTCCAGGATCAAAACACAACCATAGGAGATACATTGTTTTCAGAGACTGAAATATAAAAAAAATTATATGTAAGAATATATATCAGTATATTTATATAAAAATATTTATATAATCTTCCTAGCACTACTTTCCCCCTAAAAGCTGAATAAGAATTAGAAAGTAGATAGAAGAGTTCTTAAACACTAGACTAGGTTCTTACAAATGCAGTCCAGCCTCACTGCTAAAATGGCTGATTCTTTTTAGAATATTGGAAAACTGGGGAGGCAAGTCTTTACACATCCTTTTCATTATTCTCCAAGACTCTTTTATGATATTCAGACTCAGTAGTAATTGAGTTTTCGCTTCTCATCAACAATACAGATGGTACTTAATTGTGTCTACAAGGAGTTTATACATATATTGATGAGAAAGTGATAGCCTGAAAATGTTAACATTCTTTTCCAAGATCATTTCATCTTTAATCTATTTCTGTGCTTCAGTATTAATTGCTGAATCTTATCAATGTGTAGGATCTGTTATTATAAGTGGAAATTAAAACATATGTTGTACTTAGCAGTCACTTGTTCTTCTGGGCTGTTGTGTAGTGATGCAGGCATACTTTGGAATCTTGTTCTAGGACTCCTGACCACTGCAATAAAGCGAAGAGTATAACAAAGTGAACGTTCTGATTTCTGGTTGCATAAAATAGCTATGCTTATACTATGTTATAATCTATTAGATGTGTAATAACATTACACTGAAATCATGGATCTTAATTAAAATACTTCATGATCATTTGTGCCATTGGAAAAATGGTGCCAATGGTCTTGTTTGGCACAGGGTTGTCACAAAATGAGTTTGCAAAACATGCAGAATCTCTGAAACATGGAAAGGTAACAAGCAATGAAACAAAGTATGCCTGTATTTGTGTTTTTATATTTTCTCCAGCCACTGAAAAGGGAAGAATTCTTCCACTCTGCAGTTGCTCTACACATTTTTGGTATTTTGAAACTTCAGCCCTTACCTGCAATGGTTTTGGCCCGAAGGACAAAGATCTTTCTTTCTTAGTATTCATCCTTCCACTCATTCTTTGATAATTCATTCACTGTAAATATTAACACTATCAAGTACTCTTAGAATGATAGTGACACCATTCATATAATAGCTTTATATTTCATTAACTGATAACATACTTCACAGATTCATAACCAATTATATTGCTTTTAAAACCATTTTGTCTTCAGAATGAAGCTACAAGATTGGAAACAACAAATAGGATTCTAGAGAAGAAAATCCAAGTAAGTTTGGGGGCATACAAACCAGTGCTTATCGTAGAGATACTTCCTGGAGATGACCTGCTTGCCTGTGTCACAAATTATGTGGTGGTATAGCAGATCTTTTTTCAAAGTGATAACTTTCTGTGATGCTAGAGCTTAAGAGACGTGGCGGTTCACCTCTGAAATCCTAACTACTTGGGAGTTGGGAGACTGGGAGGATCGTGGTTTGATGCCAGCCAGGACAAAGCCAATCAATAAAAGCTGGGCATGATGGTACATGCCTGTCATCCCAGCTACTTGGGAAGCATAAATAGGAGGACTATGGCTCAGGATGACCTGGATATGCATGTGATTTTATTTCAAAAACAACAAAAACAAAAAAGACTGGAGGTGCAGCTCAAGTGATCAAGCTCCTCTGGAGCAAGCATAAGGCACTGGGTTCAAACTCTATATTACAAAAAAAAAAACAGTCTGTACAGCTGTACACTCATGTGTCAATTTAAAAACAATACTAAATCTTAATGATTGGATGTTAATCATAACTATTTCTCTAACCCATCCACTATTTAATGTGATGCTTTTGTTGATAAAAAATTTAATGCACTGGTACCTCCAGCAACTTTGAAGATACTTCTCCAAAGTGTGTGTTAATGATTTGTGACTTAACTATCATTCTTCTATGGAGGTGTGTATCTCTGTTATGTGTAGTATGAATTAATGTGTTGCAACTGATTTTAGTCTGTTTGGATTCAATCTCATTTCTATTAGTATATTATACCTTTGTAGATGACCAAAAGCTTTAAATGTTTCTGTAGGACATTGAAATCCATGTGAAGTTGATGATAGGAAAGAGCAACATTCCTGTGGTGGAGGAGAGGTAAGCTTTTCCCTGATAAGGAATTGTAACACTGTTATGCTCTTCTCAAGTTCAAACACTGAAAACTAAAGAAGGCTTGATCTCTGTGTTGTTAACACTCAAGAGTTCTAAGTTTAAATGTACATATTATATGTTTTCCTGTGCTTCAAAATCCTTAGCCTCAACACATAGATGACATTTAGCAATACAGAACTAAACTCACTGGTCAAAGCTAAAGAGGTGGGGTGGATTTTCATAGGCAAGAATTAGGAAAGCAGTGAGGTAAATGGCTGTGGGTAGGTTTATTTTCTCCAATTACATTATTTTTACTCTTTTAAATCTTCAAAAAATACAATGCATATTTTAATCTAAAAAGTAAATGGAGCCAGTTGCTGGTGGCTCATGCCTGTAATCTTAGCTACTAAGAAGGCTAAAGTGAGGATCAATGTTCAAAGCCAGCCCAGGCAGGAAACTCTATGAGACTCTTATCTCCATTTACCCACGAAAAGACTTGGAAATGGAGTTGTGGTTTAAGTGGTAGAGTGCTAGCCTTGAGCAAATAAAATTCTGGGATAGCACCTGGGAACTGAATGCAACTCACACAAAAAAGTAAATGTTTGGATTATATTATCTGTAATATGCTTGTATTTTGCACAGTTTTCTAAAAGTTATTAGTAAGGTGTAAATTTCTAGATTTGATATGGTTGGATCAAAGAGAAAACCATGATGCTTTAAACGTTTGAAAGCTAGTTTGTGTCATCATAGAAGCCCAGGAGGTGTACATGGCCACTGGATGGCGGTGTCTGGACTAGAGTTCTTCCTTCCTCCTTGGTGGTTCTTTTCCAGCGGGAGCGTGCATGGCTGTCCTCAGGCATCCGAGGATCAGGGGAGGAAGGGGCCACAGGACAGACAACTAGAGCGTCAGCAAGGAGGCTTTTCTGCTTCGTTTAGGAAGGACAAGCAGACGCCTATCATGTCTCATTCACCAACACTGGGTTTCAGTACCATCCTTAGTGGTGAGAGGCCAGAAACCAAAATATTCCACTTCCTCTATCCCAAGGCAGCGAAAGCCATGGGGAAGGTTCTAGGCCACGTGTGGACCAAGACCTAGGAGGCCCGTGGAGCAGCTCCTGAGATGCGGCTGGGGCCCCGGGAGAAAGAGGCCGCCCGCGCGGGGGCCCGGGCTCGGGGCTGGCGGCCT